AGAAGGAAGGTGGATCAATTGAGTCTTATTATGATCGTCTGAATGAGCTCATCTTCAAGTGTAACAAATATTTGGTAATAAGGTCAACAATGGAGTTCAATCTCACTTTTATCATGGGTCTTCGCAAAGAATGGATAAATATCAGCCTTATAATAAAGACTCAGCAAAGCTTCGATTATTTCTCTTTGAATGATCTTTACAATGTGTTGAAAGCACATGAATCTGAAGTAAACGAAATTGCTGAGGAATCAAATATCAGTCTTGGTGGTCCACTTGCTTTAGTTTCGAAAGTTGCTGGAAGAGATGTTGAAAAAGAAATAGCTGAGAAAGAGAATTTGGAAGATGAAGGCTTGATTGTCAACTCAGATGACGAAGCTGTAGCTTTTTACTTAAACAACCGACTAAAGAAGTTTTTCAAAAAGCCTTTTAATGTGAAGTCTCGTGTAAGTGATGCAAAAGGAAGTTTTGCTGGAAAGTGTGGAGGTGAACAGAAGAAAGTAGAGAAGAAGGAGATCAAGTCTGAAGATGCGAAAGTCGAGAAAAAGCTTAAAGGTGATTCTGGATTCGACTGTCATTACTGTAATGGAGCGAATCATATGGTCAATGATTGCATCCTGCGAAAAGGGAAGCAAAGAAGAACAAAGTCAAAGATGAAGCTTATTATGTGGAAAGATTGGAGGAGGTAAGAGCACAAGCGAAGGAGATGTCACTTGTGGCCAGGGGTATGGATAAAGAAGAAGGAACCTACCAAATCTGGTCCTCAGGTTCTGATGATGAAGAAATGCGAAATCCAACACATGGGGCCATGTTTGCAAAGTATGAAGAAGAGGAGGAAGAAAAAGTCACTGGAAAGTGTTTTGTTTCGACATCAACTCACAAGTCACCCATGACTTCTCAGGTATGTTCTATTTTGCAATCTTTTAACATTCCTTCTAATGCTTACACTTTGATTTTATCTGAGCTTGATGAAGTAATTACTTATGTAAATGATTTGCTTAACTCTACTAGTAATGATGCTAAAATGACCAGTATTCAACTGCTAGAGACACAAAGGATTTGGGAGACTAAAAAATCTTATATAGATCAGTTAGACCTACAGTCGACGCATGTAATGTGTGATAGAGATCGTCTAAGATCTGAGAATAAAGATTTGCAAAAACAAAGAAACATTTATTGTAACTCAGCAAAGAGATTGTATGCAAAATTAACTGCTTTACATCATTCGTCGGATATTAGCAAAGAACAGCATAGGAAACTTTTACCCTTTTTAGATTTCGAAAGGGAGAAAATAGATTCAACTTGCTATGACTTTGAAAAGAAAATATCAGAATATGAAAAAGTCCCAAATGATTCGTATGCATATGGAATAATGAAAATTGATGAATGTTTAGATGCAAATGAATTAGTTGAAATTGTAAATAAGACCTTGACCAAAAACGAACAAATCAAAATTTGAAAAGAACTGAGAATTCGACACTTGACTCTCAAAACAATTTTGCTGATATCGAAGATGATTCTGATGATATGAGTGAAATTGATACAGAGGAAATTGTTGATTGTTCTCAGTTATCTGTCATTAATTTCACTTCTTTAGCGAAGGGTAATGAAAAATGCAATGATTCTTCGATTAAAATTAACACTGACCAACCATCATCTTCATAAGTTCATGATCCTGACCATATGACAGTCGAAGATAGTCAAACAAATAGTGATGATGATGGTGATACTGTTTTGAAAGAAACAAAAATACCACGATTTTTCGTTGATCAAATGTACGAAGATACCGAGAAATTCGACAAAATCATGAAGGAAAAGGGTTCACATTTTCTTGAACCAAATACAGTCGTGTATCCTAACTTCAAATGCTCAGATGAAGGTGTCTTCCCAAATTAGGTGTTTCTTACCTCCAGAAATGTTGATAACGTTAAACCTGAAATCAACAAAATTGTTGAAGAGGATAACAAGAAAGTTTCAAAAGAAGGATTTTTCTCTAATCAAAGTACCGTCGAAAATAATCTCACCAGAACTCATACACTTTTCAAAGACAAAAACCACAAAGAACATGGGTTGTTAAAACAAAAACTTCAAAAGTGGAAAAATAATCCAAAATAAATGATCAATGTTCCAAAGATCAAGTTGACATGGTGTCAAAAGATAATGGAATTTCAAAACGCAAAGCAAGAAAGAAAGTTTATTGGCAACATATTGAATCTAAAAACACACAAAATGTTTTGTTAAATAAATCATCTGAAAAGAAAGAGACTAAATCAGTTCAGACGAATTTTCAAAACAAGTCTTCAGTGAAGAAAACAATAGTTCAAAATCAAAAAGTTTTGCCAAAAGGTCAACCAAAAGTTTCGATGTCAAATTCAAAATAAAAATTTTCAAAAATCGGACAAAGAAAAGTTTGTCTATCATCAAATGTCAAAGAATGTTGTTCATCATTCTCACAACAAAAGGTTTTCTCAAAATGAACAAAGATTTTCTAATCAAGAAAAGGGTTTTCAACCAAAAGAACTTTTCTCAATTTTCAAATCAAAGAGGATTTTCGAAAGTTTCGTGAGATGTTCATCAATCAAATGTTGATTATCTCAAACTCGTTTTCAATCATACGTGAAACCTGGTTTTCCAAAACAACATTCTGAAACATTAAATGTCAATTCAAAAAGAAATGTGACGTTTCAACCAACACAACCTCATTTTCCCAATCCATCTTCAAAAAAGCCAAGTAATGTTTCATTTTCAAAAGGAATAAATGATGTCAAAAACATCAATAACTGGTTGGAAGGTGTTGAAGAAAACGCGTACTCGCAAGTATACGAGGTCGTGCAAGTAATACAGTCGTAAGACCAGATATCGAACCGATAAAAGACTATCTTATTCTAAGGAAGAGTGAACTAGGCAATTGAGTGCAAAAGTGATTGATTTTATTAAACTAAGGAAACTATTAAAATAAAATTAAACTAAATTCAGCAAGGTAAAAATGAAAAATAAAATAATCGAACAAACAAGGAAAACAATTAAACGATTTAACAATTATGAGAAAACGAGATTTAGTTGACTTATACGGGTTCAGTGGTTCTTCTAATGCAATTAACTTGTCAAATCAATTATATAAAAACGAATAACCTAACACCAACAAAAGTTATCAATTACCTCTCGGTCTCATGATACGATTTAAAACCATTCACTCATATCTCTATGTAGTTCATGATTTCAAAAAGCATTAAGTTCAATGGTTTTGTTAAAAATGCCCTAAAACACGTCTATGTCAAGTTTAAGCGAAATAACGAAAACACACATTTATATTCAAACGATGTCACAAATAAAGATTCTCTCGAAGTCAATATTGCATGTAAATATTAAAATTCAAACCAAGCAAAATAACTCTAACTAACGTTGATCAAGTGCTAGCCAAAATCAAATTTACCCATTAAAATTCATATTTTTAAAATAAGCACACATTTGAATATGCTATTCGATTTCAACAAAATTGACTCAACAAAATAAAATACATTAAAATTATCATCTCACCCTAGTCAATTAAACCCCGAATAAACTACTACTCCATAAAAATAAGATCAATAACAACGAATTAAACATCATCACTGTTTTGTTGAATTCTAAATACCCAAAATTAAGTGAGAACATAAAATAATAAAACTAATCCTTTTTCTTTTAGGAACGTAAGTAATTAAATGCAAAATCTCATAAGCAAATGAAAAATATTAAAAGACAAATGAAGGAAGTCTTCCCTATTATTAATACTATGTGAGTCTAACTACCGTCCTCTAAATCTGAGCCGTTCAATTTAATCCTGACCTCAATAACTCTCTATTGACGGTTACCTGTGCAGTTTCTAGCTTTCCTCCTCCTTCACTCAACGTTGATCGGTTGAAGTCCACGACTCCATTCTTCTCGATTTGCTTTAAAAACCGGAAATCAGTTTTCTTCAACAACTGCAGCACACGATTAGAAATCAGACGGTTTTCTTTAACTGTCCAGACTATATAAGAGATCGATTTCACTTATTGTTACAGGTTTGTATTAATGTTGCCTTCGTCTTCAGGTCGGCCGCCCGTTTCCTCCTTCTTCTCCCCCGACGTTCATAGCCGGTTGTATGTTGATGTTGTATACGTCAATTTTAGATTACTTGTATAGTTGTATGTAATTGGTCAATTTCCCCTACGTTCCCCTTCTGTAAATTTTAGAATTTTTTTCAATTTCAGTTTGATCTGAGCTAATCAAATGGAAATCCGGGGAGATAATACAAAGAGTTTCAGTTTGCACCCTTTGTTTTTTAATACCTCTTGAAAATCATCAACACAAATCTGGGTTGTTTTAGGTGTGAGTTTGAGTCTTAATTCTCCACATATAAATGCAGCCATCATCCCCAATTCATGAATCGTGAATCGTAGCCCAAGTTTTCCTCTCTGTCGCACCACCACTCAGGTATGTTTCTCCTAAGATCTCTACTCTCTGATTGTGTTAATTTTCTCCCCTTATTGTCCTTATTTAATCTCTAACTGAATCGTTTGTGTTCAAAATCCATGGCTACTTGATATGTAATCACCTGGATCTGTTTGATTTTTGGTTTAGTTTGGAAATATAAATAAGAAGAAGAGCCAGAAACCACTTCTCTTCCCTCACCTCCACAACTGCCATTCCTCTTCTCTATGCACACGCACCTCTGAGATGTGACGGAAGCTTTTTCCGGCAGCATCAAACCAATTTATGATAGAGAAAAAGAAAGAATAAAAATACTTCGGGTAATAGGTGAATTTAGTAACATCGTTGCAAATAAATGTATGTATTAAATTGTTCTGAATGACTAATTTTCTGCCAACAGTTTAAAAAATCTCATATTTTAGGTAATCTTGTCCACCAACTATTCAATTATTATACTCTATTAGTATAGTTACCTTAAATTATATGTTGCTATGTTGAGTTGCCAACAAATGTCTGACCTTAATTTGGCTTGACTAAACTATCCCACGTAAATGAAAACTTTTGATTTAGAAGAACTTGACTGGCCTTTTATAATCAATCACAGTACATTGTTTCTTTTTGTGGCTCTTCATGCATCAAATATCTCTCACACATAATTATCACAATTATCATGAATTATGTTTTAGGGGCATGCAAATCAAGTCAATTGATTTCCAATTTCAGGTGTTTCACTCCTTGACACAACAAAGAGTGTAAGAATTCAATGGTTTTCACATGTATTCACTGTTATAGTAGCTTTAAAGCTACATTTTTTCATTTTCTTTCACCCATTTAGCGCCCCCATACACACAGACTTTCTTTTGCTACTTAATTTTCCTTAAACTTTTCATATTGTTTGCTTAGGCATGTCTTCTTTTTGTTAAGAAAGGAGCAACATCAGTTCTTCCTATTTGAAATCTCAGTTGGTTTGAAGCCAAGAAACTCCCAATTGATTGCTCCTTTTGTTTCAAGGGCGCATGCCAACTACCCACAACATCGTTAATGTTCAAATCTCAGTTGGTTTGAAGCCAAGAAACTCCCAATTGATTGCTCCTTTTGTTTCAAGGGCGCATGCCAACTACCCACAACATCGTTAATGTTCAAAGCTAAAAGATTGCCAATCTCCCAACTTTTTGAAGTTATGGTCTGTGTTGAGTCCAAAATTATGGATTGGGTTTGGGTCCCTTGTGACTTTTTAAACCTTTTCTGTTCATTTGGTTTCATTTTGTTGTATCCATCGTCCCTAATCGATGTAAAATGATTGTTATACCCTTATATATTAACAAATAAACAAAAAGGTTAAAACATCACATAAGGGTATATTAGTCATGTTACACTGATTAAGGATGATGGATGGATGCAAAAAAGTTAAAATGCAGGGACAAGAAAGGTTAAAAAAAGTTAGGAAAGGGATCTGGTCCATAATTTTTTTTTGTCATACCACAAGATTATTTATGTAATTTACTCTTAGTTTTATGATATAGATAACAAATTTCATTAATCTTATTCTTCATTTTCTGTTGCTTCTTTTAGGTTGAGAAGATTGGAAAAGATTCTCTTATAAACTATACAATAACAAAATTGTTATCGAGTGACTTCTTCGCCAATTTGTTATGGTTTTACATAACTAAACATTGTAAATATATATTGATTACTTTTTATACTTTCAATTCCAAATAAATAACATAAATTTGTATACGTTGATGAAGTTGTGCAATCCGTCAAAATGACAAATTCAACTGGTAAAATTAGGTACCTAATCAAGGTTAGTTATTAAATTAACAAACCAAACTAAACAAAATTTTATTTAAAAAATTCTATTAAATAATAAATACCATATTGTTATTTTTTACACTTTAGGGAATAAATATCCTTAAAGCTCATGGTAAAAGTGCTACAGAAAGCTACTTATTAAAAGGCTATGCACTTAATGCTGGTCGTGCAACTCAATGAATGCCAATGAAAGTTTGTCCTGCAAGAAACTCAACATGGGAGTTCAAAAAAAAATGCAATTGGGAGTTCAAGCTTTAGTCGCGGACCCACGTGAGTTAGAGAAGATTCGTCAGAGGATATTAGCATATTTTAAGGTTTTTTTAAAAGATTTTTGTACCACATATTTTTAAGGACTTTAAGGTTTTATGTTCTTATATATAGAGAAGCTTGTGACAAAAGAACTTATTCAGAAGCTTCTAAAAGTTGGAGCTAATGTTGTTTTAACAAGGGGATTGATGACGTGGCACTCAAGGTATAAGTTTATTTTTTTACTTTTTACCATTATAGCAGTATACTTGCATTTATATACCCAGAATAGCAATGCAATTACACTTTTAACATATAACAAATAAACTACAATGCCCATATTGGTTGTAGAATGTAAGTACATTACCTTTTTAGGTAAAACTAAAGTATATTGCTATTATTGGTAAAACAAATGTAAGTAGGTTTCTATTATAGGTAAAAGATACAGAACCTTGTCCATATTGGTAGTGAGAGTAAAGTATGTTGCTATTATCATGAACTTTCCCTTTTAGTAATCTTGTAGTCCATTCTGTATATTATATAGAAGTATTTATTTATTCTATTGTTACAATTCAGTGTTTTGTGGAGGTTGGTGCGATTGTGGTTAGACGTGTGAGGAAGGAGGATTTACGCCATGTGGCAAAGGCAACATGTGCAACTGTGGTACAATTTTTATTTTTTAACATGAAAAAAAAATTATATATTGAAATGGTTGAATTTTGAAATGATAATTTAATTGATTTGCTGACATGGAAGGAGAGGAAACATTTGATTCATCGTTTCTTGGACATGCAGATGAAGTGGTGGAAGAGCATGTCACAGACGATGATGTTATAATGATAAAGGGAACCAAAACAACAAATTAAGTATGTATATAATCAATTACATTTTTTTCAATAGGTTCGTCCGATACTAAGAGGTGCTAATGTTGGATAAGGTGTCTAAGTCCATAACTTTATTTGGTATATACTTGACCCGACCCGGCATGGTCCATTTGGGTTGCACTTCACCCGAACTGCTTGTATGGTTAAACCTTTGAGAATTGTATGATTATGATTTGTTAATATATTATAAGTTATAATATATTAATATGAAATTATATTATTTAATTAGTATTTGATCATAAATTAATTTTGTGATAAAAAATGAGACTAATTAAATATGAGCTCTTGTATTTATATAAGTGTGGGCTAATACTCATTTGGAATGGGCTTGGCATGCATGGGAGTCCATGGATAGTCCATGGAGCTTTTAACACATTGAGCCTTGGAAAGGAAGAGTCATGGGTATTAGGGTTTACATGGATGTAACCCTAATTCCCCACACTATATAAAGGAGCTTATGATGCTTGAAATGCCACTAAGTGTGTGTAAGAAGGTGGTCGATTTTTAAAAGCAAACATACACTCACATAGTTTTTCCAAAGTTTGTGGTGATTTGTGACTTCCATTTGAGGCATCCACATTATTGGTGCTTGGCTCTCAAACTCCAAGGAATCAACTCATTATTGAAAGGTGTGTAATTCTTCTAGCTTTTATGTTTAAAGTTCCCCATGCCATTCTAGATAGGTTATGAACCTTGGAAAAACAAATTTGCATGTATTCATAGTAAAACATAGATCCAAGGTTTCTAGGGTTGCATGTACACCATAGGAGTGTTAAGATGCTTAAAACCCATCAGTGGTATCAGAGCCTAGGATTGTTTTCTTGAAAACTTGATGCAAACTGTTGAAAAATCGAAAAATTGAGCCGTCTGGACAGTGGACTCGCGGAGTCCATGGGGGGACTCGACGAGTCCAAGTTCAAATTCATCCTACTCGTCGAGTAGGTTCCTTCACTCGACGAGTAGGAGGCTCTGACTGCAGTTTTTCGACTTTTGCTGCTTGAAATGGACTAGAAACATTACCTTAAACTGTTTTGGTGTTTTAACACTTGTTTTAGATGGTGTAATGATTATGCTAATCCATTTACAATGGCTAATATCAAAATTCCATGTTTTATATGTGTTCATATGACTCTTCAAGTTTTGATATGATATTCATGTTCTTATGAGTTATTGTCAGATCATAGGAATTACTTGCTAAATTGTTTAATAATTAATTCTTGATCAATTATGTGTTTTAAGGAATCCATAATTTCTCCTCAAGTTATGGATTTCCAAAGGTCACTTTCTTTAATGTACATTTAAAACACATAAGTTACATAAAAATGAAGAGTCTTCACTTTTATGAACCATTAACTCATAAGTTATGAAATAAAAAGTTTTGAATAGTTTCAAAATGTAACATCCCAAATTTCAAGCCCAAAAATTTCATTTTTAATTAAACATTTCCCATGCCATGTCATTTGTGAAAAGAAACATAACAATGTGTCTGAAAATCATATTGTCAAAAGTAAAATAAATCAGAGTACATTCCCAAAAAACTTCATGCGGAAACCATGTGTGTGTGTGATGCGCTGCTACACCGCCGACTACTTCTCCTTAGATGAAGAGGTACCTGAAACCAAAACTAAAACTGTAAGCACAAAGCTTAGTGAGTTCCCCCATCATACTACATATCATACAATCACATAGCATAAATACTGTCGGGCAATTCTGGGGCGCCCGTCCTACCCATGTCAAGCCATTCTGGGGTGCTGACCTACCCATGTCAAGCCATTTTGGGGTGCTGACCTACCCATGTCGAGCCATTCTGGGGTGCTGACCTACCCATGTCAGGCTATTCTGGGGTGCCGACCTACCCTCCGGTCTTTCAACCAAACACGGGGACTATTTCACCCTTACTGCTAACACATAATATCATATCTCAATCACGCTGTCAGACATATTTGGGGTGTCCGACGTACCCGTTGGTCCTAACGACCGATTCGGGGACTAGCCCCCTTCTACTGATACTATCTCACATAACATAGCAAACTAGCATAGTCACATATCAAGCAAACTAGCATACTCGCATATCAAGCAATACCTTGGGTTTCTTCCCCGAAACCCCTATAACATGCTCAGACTCTGCTTTCCTCTTCCTGACATGCTCCAAATCGAGCTCCATCTCCCGCGCCGTGGCAATCATGGACTCCAGGGTCGGGCAGGCTGAATAGTTGACATGCTCCTAAATATCAGCCCTCAACATATCATGGTAGCGGGTCTTCTGCATCTCCTCGTCCCCCGCATACCGAGGTACCAACAAGGCCCTCTCCCTGAACTTGGCGGTGATCTCCGCCACAGTCTCAGTCGTCTGTCTCATATCCAAAAACTCCCTGGCCAACTACTGAAGCTCCACAGCCGGCGCAAACTCAGCCCTGAATCTGGTCACGAAATCTGACCAAACCATAGCCTCGATGGCTGAGGCTCCCAGCGAGTCACCAACTGACTCCCACCAATCTCTAGCTCTATCCCTCAAACATCCCGCAACAAAGCGGACCTTCGACCCTTTCGGGCACAAGCTCGTCAACTGCGCAGACTCAATGTCTGCGATCCATCTCCTGGCAGCAATGGGGTCCTTCACCCCATGAAAGTTCGGCGCACCACTCCTTCTGAAGTCCTTGAAGGACAATGTGCGCGTACCCACCTGGCTAGACGCCAAATCACTCCTGAAGGATCGGAGGCGATCCTCCATCAGCTCGATAATCCCCTCCTTGATCGACCCGAAAATGACCAGGGTCGACTCAAGGATACCTCTCGTGATCTCAGATGTGATGAACTCGCGTAGCCCATCGTTAACCCGCTCGGATCCTGCACCCGAGCCTGATCCTGATCCTGACCCAGATCCGGAACCTCCTGCTCCATGTCGTGTGGTCACCATACTGAAAATAAATACATAAACGTCAGGATCATACATGCTCTCGAGAGGTCTCACACACTCTCCAAGTTTCCTGGTTCCATCTCGGCCCTCCTTGACTCGAGTACGGATCCTCTGCTTCCAGTAGTACGAGCCCATACTACCTTCCACATCTATCCGTACTTTCCTCAAGGATTGCGTCAACTTCACCAAGTCCCTTTACTGATGCCCTTTTCCACTAATCTCATCCTAGGCTTTCCTAGGGCACCCTCCAACCTACTCTCCGCCATCAGCTGCACAAGGGGTCCCTGCTATCCTTCCCTATCTAGCTTGCGAATACTGTTACATATTCGCTCACTAGATAGTTAAAGTTAGCCAGAACCCTTATAGCACAAAGCAAGCAGCATTTGTGCATTGAGTAACCAATTCAGGCATAACCTATACATGCCATCCTACTGCTGACTAAACAGTCATAGCATACAGCTCATACAACAGGCATATAAGGCATCCTTCCTAGATCCTTAGCACTACTCTAGCATGCAGTTCTCAGAATCATATATATCAAGCATACAAGGCATCCTCCTAGATCCTTAGCCCTAATCTAGCATGCAGTTCTCAGAATCATATATCATATAACTTATCATAACAAGTATGGGTATCTTGGGGAAAACTTACTTGAGCTCAGCCGGTCGCACGCATCACACACCTTGTTCTTTCTCAACACTCTTTGACTCAGATTTTTGAAAACCATTTTCCTTGTAAAAATCTTTTAATTCCTCGGTTTGAGTCCAGACACCCCCGAGGGTGTGTCCGAATCCCTCAAACCAGGGCTCTGATACCAACTTGTAACATCCCAAATTTCAAGCCCAAAAATTTCATTTTTAATTAAGTAATTCACAACATAGTTTACCAAAACATTTCCCATGTCATGTCATTTGTAAAAAGAAACATAACAATGTGTCCGAAAATCATATTGTCAAAAGTAAAATAAATCAGAGTACATTCCCAGTAAACTCCATGCGGAAACCATGTGTGTGTGATGCGCTACTACACCGTCGAATCTTTCCCCTTAGACGAAGAGGTACCTGAAACCAAAACTAAAACTGTAAGAACAAAACTTAGTGAGTTCCCCCATCATACCACATATCATACAATCACATAGCATACATACTGTCAGGCAATTCTGGGGTGCCCGTCCTACTCATGTCAAGCCATTCTCGGGTGCTGACCTACCCATGTCAAGCCATTCTGGGGTGCTGACCTACCCATGTCGAGCCATTCTGGGGTGCTTACCTACCCATGTCAGGCTATTCTTGGGTGCCGACCTACCCTCCGGTCTTTCAACCGAATACGGGGACTATTTCACCCCCGACTGCTAACACATAATATCATATCTCAATTACGCTGTCAGACATATCTGGGGTGTCCGACCTACCCGTTGGTCCTAACGACCGATTTGGGGACTAGCCCCCTTCTACTGATACTATCTCACATAACATAGCAAACTAGCATAGTCACATATCAAGCAAACTAGCATACTCGCATATCAAGCAATAGCAGACTAGACAATTATCACAAAGACAATCATCTCAGCTAAACAACTACTAGTGGGTCGGCCTTGGTACCTTAGACCCACTTCTATTGGAAGGTAACTCACCTCGATGTCGTGTAGTATCTGAACTGTCCTCTGTGTGAAGGTCGGCTCTCCTCGACTCCTTAATCCCTACACGACAACCTTCAAGTCATCAAACCGGACATACAACCCTAACCAGGGTTAATATCAAAACCAGGCAAAGTCAACATTGGTCAAAGTCAACACCCAGTTGACCTGATTCGTAGAGTTGGTCTACCAACTCGTCGAGTTCATACTTCACTAACCCGATCCAACCCCGACTCCACTCGTCGAGTCTAGCAAGAACTCGACGGGTTCCCCTTCATTCAAACCATCGGGACCATCTTCATCCGACTCGCCGAGTTCATCCTTGAACTCGTCGAGTTCATCTCCCTCATAAGAATGTGTCCAGTCTATGACTCGCCGAGTTGTATGAACAACTCGTCGAGTCCATCTTCAAAGATTGGGAGATTGCCTTGGACTCGTCGAGTCTGCTCATACACTCGTCGAGTCCCATGATTCCCAGGTCCCTTTTCGTGTCTAAACATCCACGGGACTTCCTCCCTAACAACTGGTCCATCCACATAAAGGATTTGGTGGTCAATACACCTCGACTCGCCGAGTCCCAAGAACAACTCGC